TGTAATTAAAAAGTTTGGAAGCAATAGTCGATGTATATTTGTAGGAAATACAAGGTGTAGTCTTTAACTTGAAATATGGTGGAATACAAGACTGGACCCTTTTGTGATTAAGAATATTACTCATATTAACTATATATTTGAGGAGACCTCGCGTGCATTTCAAACCCAACATCAAGTTGCATTCACTACTAAAATAAGCCAACGAATGAAATAATAATTTCAATGAGAGTGTAACTTCGATAGCTAGGCGTCGGAACGAGGTGGGGGGGGGGGGCCTTGCCCCCCCCCCACTTTTTTTGCAAAGATAGACATAATATAGACATTAAAAATTGGGGCTTAGCCCCCTCAACTTTTTTTTTTGGTTGGTTCCCCCCCTTTCAATTTGCATCCGACGCCTAAGGATAGATGTTTCAGCATTTTTGCATGCTTAAATTTATTTTTTTTTTTAAATGATACATCTGAGAAACGCAAACAATTTAAATTGCCTGTCTGCACAGTAAATAGTATCTGATTTATCTTAGCTAAATTTCATAACTTTTACATTCACTCAAACTAAAATGAAAGTCTCCGATAGCTAAAATATCCAGTAATGTTAAATTATCTTCATATTTTATATATATATATATATTATATATATATATCTTTAGTTGTGTGTTAGAAAGATAGGAGGCTGATCAGTATAAGCTTGAAAAAATTAGAACATGCAAAACGCAAATATTATATAAGAGTTCTGACCCGCTTGCAACCGATATGTCTTTACTAATGGGAATTAATAAACTATGACAGTTTAGTTTGACTTACGTTCTCAACCACTATTAAAATTTAATTGTCCACAGCTTTCACTGAAAGTGGGGGATATTAATTTGGTCTGTCTGTCCATCCGTCCGTCCGCCTGTCTGTATTTCTGTCTGTCTGTAACACTTTCGTTTCCGCGCGATATCTCGAGAACCCTTTGAGCTTTCGCAATGAAACTTTGCATAGCAACTCCCTATGGCCTAAAAAAGAAATCTATTGATTTTGAGGTCAAAAGTTCAAAGGTCAAGGTCATAAATTCACATAAATTCTGTCTGTTTTAACACTTTCGTTTCCGCGCGATATCTCGAGAATCCTTTGAGCTTTTGCAATCAAATTTACATAACAACTCCCTGTGGCCTAAGGAAGACCCTTATTGATTTTTAAGTCAAAAGGTCAAAGTTCAAGGTCGTAAATTCATACATTCCATCTATGTGTAACACTTGCGTTTCTGGACGATATATCAAGAAGCTTTTGAGCTTTTGCAATGAAATTTTATACCATAACTCCCTATGGCCTCTCTCGACCCTCTCAAAATGTCCCGTCACGTTTTTTTTAATTTATTGTATTAAAAGTCGCTTGGTATTATTTTTAGCACAGGGGCATGTGAAGAGTTATAACGTATAATACAGGCTGTCGACGGACTTTATATTCTAATTACATCTATTAGAACTGTTTAGTAAAGGCTAAATTAGACACCATGTATTGTGTAAAATTTTGACAATATCGAACGTGAATATAAACATTATATGTGACCTAATGTTTGCATTTAACTTACTGTGTAATCAAGTGCCTCCGTGGTCTAGGGGCATGATTCTTGCTTAGCAAGTGAGAGGTCCATGGTTCAAATCCTGGACGATCTTTTTTCTTTTCTTTTTTTTTTTTTGATTTTCTAAATGATAGTATTAATTTTTTTGGATTTACTAAATGATACTATTCATGAAAGAAAGTTATGACGTCTGGCATGTACAAACTCATAAAATCATTATTACAGTGTGATAAATATTCTATATAAAAAGAATCTTCTATACACATATCAAACAATAAGCAATCAAATCTTGATATCCATATTGGCATTTTTTTATTTGCTTCAATATATATGTATACATTTAATAATTCTACAAATCCAGGGGGAGCCCCCCCCCCCCCCCCCAGAACTGAGCATGCTCTTCTTTTTTCCCTAATCTGGGGTTTTGGGTTGGAAATGCATTTTCAAACACTATTGTAACATTTATTTTAATAGCAAGTGTTATTTCAATAGTGTTTGTAACGTGTTTAGGTATTTTAAATGCATTCTCAACCACGATTGAAATAATAATTTAAATTGACTGTGGTTTATTTTGATCATTGTTGAACCACATCCATACGAAATTAACAACAAAAGACTCCTCGCTGTAGAGGAATTGAGAGGGGGACAGCTCGCCCTCCCACTACAGGTCAGTTTATCTATATTCATATGTCAAATGGTAATTTTTGTGTGGTTCGTTTTTCATTGTTCATCGCGCAAAGAGTGCAATATATATGTTGGACCATTGTGTATGTCTGTGAGTTTACTTGTGTAGAAAGTGTTATTGTTTAAAAGCAAAAATACAAAAGACAGACTTACATATTTTGATTATAATTATAAGAGATAAAGGATATTTTTTTGGATGAGATTTTTTCCCCAGCAGCGTTTATCACGTCTGCTCGTAGCAAACTGTGTAGGAACTTGTTTTTACGAGATTTTTATTTAAAGTTTAAAAGCGTTTGGTTTAATTGTTTGTGCACTTTTATTGACAAAAACATTATATTATCTCGTATAAATATAAACTATAGATATGTTGATAGTGCTAATTATGATAGGGCCAAATAATTCATGACCTGTATATAAATATACAAAATACTTCCATGAGGGTTCAAGAACAATAAAATCTTTAAGATGCACATATATATTTTTTTCTGAATCCCTACATAGTATTTATAAATATATAGGTAAATACTGTTTTTATGATTTAGAGGTTTCAAAACATTTTCCAAAGATAACAAATCTAGGGTCATTGATTACAAAGTTGACTGACAACTTTCTTTTCACGCCTGATGGTCAACTTTTGTTTATCTATTTTTTCCTCCCCTTTTGAAATAAGTACATAATTCAATTAACTGACAAAATTTTCGAATAAATGGGTAGGAATGTAATTTCAATCCAAAAAAAGTTACATTTTGTTATCTGTATAGACACTAACTTAAAACAAAAATAAACAACATAAGTTCATAAGGGAAATATAGTTTATTTGAATAAGGAAGTACAGTGTTAATTGATTTGCCAGTGTGACACATACATTTCCTGAGAACCAACACTATTTTTAGAGCAGGAATGAACCTCACTTTTTCTAAAAGGAGAAATTCCCAGGTGAAGAGCATGAGAATGGCTTTAATGAATAAATTTATTGAATATAACAGTGGAATTACCATTTCTACAATAATAAACGTATTTACAGTAAAACTCGTCTAGTACGAACACGGATATAGCGAATTTACGGATATAGCGAAGTTTTTTGCAATCCCCGGAAAAAATCTTAACAATTCCTTGGAAAATTTTACGGATATAACGAATTTGGATATAGCGAATTTACGGTTATAGCGAACTGATTTTGTGTCCCCTAGAAGTTAAATATAACGAAATTGACATCTTTTATAGCGAAGTTTTAACGATCTTAATTTTTAAAATATTGAACTGAGAATAATTTTGTGAGTATAAATATTTGAAACTCAATTCATTCAAAAACTTTTGAATTCCAAGATGAATTTAATATTTTAAACTTCCCTAAATATATATGGTAGTCATGCTTGAAGGGAAAAAATGATATAACGAATTCGCTATGTATACTTTAACGAATTCGTTATACGGATATAACGAATTACGGATATAGCGAAGTAAATTTGCAGGTCCACAGAACTTCGCTATAACCGAGTTTTGCTGTACTAATATTTGAACAGGAACAGAAATGTTTTTAGTTGCTGTTGGATGAAGGTTTTGGAATTTAATCGTGTTGAAGATCTAGAAATTGGAGAAAAATTTGAACCGCTATTCTCTTAAAATTGATCCTTTAACTGGATATTTTGGACGCCTAAAACTTAATAAAATTGCAATTTTAAAGACATGCAATTTACTCTAACCGTGTATCCGTCATTTGTTGCTTAAGTCAGTTTATTGTCATCAAACGTCACATTGCATTAAAATATCAATCAGTTTACGCTTTATAATCCGCGAAGCGGATTATAAAACAGCGTAAACTGACCCAAACCAGGTTATGCTCGAATAATTTGGCCAGGAATTAGAGTCATTTCTTATAATTTAATTTTAAAATCATTAAATAACTATGGGTGTAATATGTCGTTGCTTTTTATTAGTTCAAATTGCCGCTCAATAATACAACCGTATTAACGGAAGTAACGGAAGTGATGGGAAGCGAGGGGAGGTAAAAACTGATACAAAGGCCTAGCAGCCTTGTGTTTGTTTACGTGTGGTAGGATTGAATTATTGTTTGAAGTTAAAAAAAATTATTAAATCTGGAATTTTCCATGAATCCCGAGGACTGGAAATGAGAGGATTGTATGGATACAGATGATTCAGCTGGTTGTCGGGGGGGGGGGGGGGGTCCCCATACCTAACCAGGTTATACAGAAATAATTTGTGTTCCTTTTTGGATATGAATCAGAGGCTAGAATACAGACAAAATTAAATTATTTCTTTGTTTCTGATACACTACAAAAGTATTGTTTACCTTGTTTTAAATCGACAATAAAACATTCCTTAATTCTCATAAGCATATTATAATTGATTATAATCATTGCTAAGACTCCTGCTCTAAATCTGGACAATACTCAAATGAAAATATTTACAATATTTTATTCTATTTTTGTATTTCATATCAATAAAAGCGCAAAAGTTTCGTTCTTGTTGTAACCATTCATTTAGTATGTTGTCCTAATCATTGAAATACATGTAATAAACATCGCAATACTCACAATTCAAGAACAGTATTTTTTATAAATATAAATGTACTCTGCTTAACATTTATTGCTTAAAATTGTGATTGAATATCGTATTGTTCTGAGCTACAATAACAATATCAAGATTTTTTTAAAAGTAGAACCATAACAGTTAATTATGATATTCCTTTTGCTCTGTAATACCTTCAATTAAAAAAAGTGCTCTATTTGAGGTGCTACAGTTTCTTCAGTACTCTTATGATATCATTGACTGTTCTCACTCCAACATTCACCTCAAGAGGTCCATTAAACATCACTAAAGCGTTATGGAATCCATCAGCTATATGTGAAAGTTCTACGTCTTTTTTTAGGTGTCTGAGACGCTCTGCAAACATTATTGCATCGTCACGAATCAAATCATATCCCGCAGCCATAACGTACGTAAACGGGAAATAAGATAGCTCCTCATCTGATGCCATTAAAGGAAAGATGGTCGGGTTCGTTAATTTATCCTTCAATTCTCCAAATAAAGTTTCATTGCCAATATCTTCAATCCCAGTTTTCTTTAGTTTAAGCTCTTTAGAGCGAATATATTCAACAGGAAGATATTTCTGCTGATCAAACAAAAATTTGTATTCCCCTTGTTTGAAAGCAGCAGACGTGTGAAGATTGTTCCGGAATGCATCATACAATGAGTGATCTAAATTAAGGTAATTCAAGAAAAAGTTAACCTGCCCGGGATCGTTCATACTTTTGTGTAGATACTCTACATTTTCTGTAAATCCTATTGTTTTCATGTTCACCGCCTGTAACACAGGTACTAGTAAAAGTAACATTTCAATTTTCCCGCGCATTTCAGGGCGAAGTTGTACTGCTGCAGCAAGGTTCCCGCCAGCACTGTCTCCACCCACTGCAATACGGCCTGGATTAACCCCAAGATCTCTAGCGTTGTTGAATACGTATGAAACAATATTTGCTACATCATCCAATCCAGCTGGGTAAGGATTTTGTGGACTTAGACGGTATCTGGAATCGGAATAAAGGATTCTTATACCAGGACCTTGAAAAGTCTTGGACATGTTCTATCAATTAACAATCATCATAATGATTATAAATTCAAACAATGAAGAAAATTATCAAATAATCTTCTCCTTTAAAATCTTCAATTTCAAATAAAATACGCGAATCTTACTCCACGGATATTACCACGATGTTGGCTTCCTTAGAAATCTGTTGATTCAGGAGGTCATAGTTATCTAAAATATTAATATATATATGTGTGTGTGTGAATAATAAACAATAATCTTGAGTTCTTGATAGTCTAGAACTTAAACTTACAAGACGATTTCAAACTGACCAGTAGAGAGAAAGGTCCAGCCTCCTCCATGGATGTATATAAGGACTGGTCTGTTGGATTGATGTAAAGATTTCAGTGGTTCGTACACACGGACTGGTATTCCATTCATTAACCTGTCCGTTATCTGTCAGACGAATTGTACAAAAATAGAGGATATGAGTTAGAATCAGTCATAATGTCTTATCTTTAGTGTTTTATTATATAACAAAAAAGAAAACACTCTGTTGAGAGATATAATTTTCATAAATTACCCCAGCAATTTATAAGTATTAGTTACCGTATAAGTTTTTTATTGGTTTTCTCTAGATACCCTATAGAGAGGTTGAAAGGTCACTCGAAGGCTGCGCCTTCGAGTGACCTTTCAACCTCTCTATAGGGTATCTAGAGAAAACCAATAAAAAACTTATACGGTAAGTCACATGTACCATAGCACTCTCAGATTTCCTAATATATGACAGAGAGATGATGTATAAGTTGCAAATAAATTTCCTAATATGGTTTGTCACCTGACATAATTATAATTTAACGCGCTATACACTGTGCATATATATTACATTTTATTGCACATTTTGTGCACTTGCAATCAAAAAGCGAAAATGGACAAACACAGCGCAATGAGCATGGATCTGGATTTTCTTCAACTTCCGCAAAATTTTGAATGGGACAATTCTATCGATAATCAAGCTCTCTCACAGATAGGCTGGCCAGTTGATAGAGGACGAAGTAAACGTGTTTGATGGTATTGGGGATTTATCTCTTACTCAGACGGATTTTAATTTGACCCGGGAGCCAGTTACACCTGAAAATGTTATACAGCAGTTGGACCATTCTGACGATCGATTTGGAAAGTTTAACGATGACGACGATATGGAAAAACCTTCTAAAGTCTACCGAGAATAAATTAAAGATTTTGAATAAAATTTAATTGATTTTGTATGCAATTAAAGGCATGCACCGCCTATAGGTTATGAAGGCACCGCCCATGGGTTATGGTGTAGATAACCCATAGTTAAAACAATAGAAAACATGGCGGCCTATGGTACATGATTCAATGGATGGCGCCAAGGTTGGGGAGCCCTGCATTCACCAAACTTATAAACATAAGATATTAGCCGTTAGTAATGATGACTGTACAGTCCATTGTACATATAGATAGAATAATCTGAAAAAACTTGATGTACATTATAGTTGGTCTTTCTAGATAACATATACATGTAGGTCCAATGGGCCGGGTGTTGGCATTTTCATGATACAAAATAATTCTGATCAAATGATTGTTCACTATATTTACATGTAACACAGGGCACTATAATATGTAAACTACAACTATATTAAACACTGTATATTCAACCAGGACAATTTTTCATTGGAAAAAAAAGAAAAAGTAGGTAAACAAATCTTTTCATACCTCATTCATCCAATATATTTATCAGAAAAGTTATCAAAATGATGATATAAAAATTAGTTTTTAGCTCATCTGAGATGAAAGCTCAAGTGAGCTTTTCTGATCACATTTTGTCCGTCGTCCGTCTGTCTGTCCGTCCGTCTGTAAATTTTTCACATTTTCGACTTCTCCAGAACCACTGGGCCAATTTCAAACAAACTTGCCACAAAGCATTCTTGGGTAAGGGGGATTCAAGTTTGTTCAAATGAAGGGCCACGTCCTCTTTCAAGGGGAGATAATTAAGAATTAGTGAAAAATTTGTGGTATCTTTTAAAAATCTTCTTCTCAATAACCACCGGGAAACCTTCATCACATAGTGAAGATTTAAGTTTGTTCAAATCATGACCCCCAGTTTTACATAGGAATATATAGGGAAAATCTTTAAAAATCTTCTTCTCAAGAACAAATTAGCCACAATTAGTCTTATTGATATGGAATCATCCTCAGGTAGTGTAGATTCAAATTTGTACAAATCATGACCCCCGGTGGTATGGTGGGGTCACAATGGGAGATCAAAGTTTTACATAGGAATATATAGGAAAAAATCTTGAAAAATCTTCTTCTCAACAATAACAAAGCCACGATTAGTTATATTGATATGGAATCATTCCCAGTTAGTGTAGATTCAAATTTGTTCAAATCATGACCCCCGGGGGTAGCGTGAGGCCACAATAGGGGATCAAAGTTTTACATAAGAATATAAGAATATATAGGAGAAATGTTTAAAAATATTCTTCAAAAGAACAACAAAACTGCAATCAGTCATATTGATATTGAATCATCCTCAGGTAGTGTAGATTCAATTTTGTTCAAATCATGACCCCCGGGGGTAGGGTGGGGCCACAATGGGGAATCAAAGTTTTACATAGGAATATATAGGGAAAATCTTTAAAAATCTTTACAAGAACAGGAAAGCCATGATTAGTCATATTGATATGGAAGACTCAAGTTTGTTCAAGGCATCCTCCAGTAGTAGGGTGGGGCCATAATGGGTTATCAAAGTTTTACAAAAGAACATATATAGGAAATATCTTTAAAAATCTTCTTCTCAAGAACACAAAGCCATGATTAGTCATATTGAAATGGAAACATCCTCAGGTAGTGTAGATTCAAGTTTGTTCAAATCATGACCCCCCCCCCCCCCCCCGGGAAGGGTGACAGACATCTTTAAAATTCCGCTTACAAGACTAGCAAAGCCATGATTAGTTTTATGAATATAGAAACATCCTCAGAAAGTTAAGATTCAATTTCATACAAAACATGGCACCTCAGGGTAGGGTATGCCTAGAACAGATGATGAAAGCTTTACATATGAATAAATAGGAGAAGAAATCTGCTGATGAATAACAGCAGGGCCATATTGTCTCAGGTGAGCGTTGTGGCCCATGGGCCTCTTGTTTAAGGTTATATCCTTTTTGGGAAATGGTTCTTATTACTGATTTTTTTTATATTATATATTTAAAAAAACTTTCTTTGCTCTTGAACAGAATATATTGCAACATTAAGAGAATTGATATCGGGGTTATAAACTGACACGATGATTTTTTAAATATAAAAGTCAAGTAATTGTTAACTCTTTAAAATGAGAGACAACATTTTATTCATGTTTAGGACATCACAGAGCGTATGTTGAAAACAGTATAGAGAGTACTGTCTAGTGTTTGAGGTATGTCTTTCGTCAGCTTTCGAAAATAGTTTGGGCAGAACCTCTTACTTCATTATTATTTGTTACAATTCATGACATATTTGAATTAAACAAAGCGAATTATACAATATTCAATTTAAAAACTGCTCACAAAATTGTTAAGAAACAAGATTTATGGGGGACTTTTTCTTGTGGTGGAAGGATATTTAGAATAGAAATTTCTTCAAATCTACTCATTTGTTTGATATCTTGGAACTTCAGCCCTTCATATTTTTACTCGTCGATTTTATTATTATTATTATTATAATCATTATTATTATTAAAGAAATATTAATTATAGGTCTCAATTTACATTTTTAAACAAACACATTCACTCTTTACCATAAAATGAAGATATATTTATGAAGTCACTTTAAAATTTACATGGTTTTTGCCTGAAAATATTATTTTGATCAAAATTTGCATCACTGACTCCAACGCTTTCTTACATTACTTTAAATTACACAATATATTCAACCGATCAGCACTTAAGTCATAAAACGCTTCATTCAAGAAAACATTTTATTGCTTATTTAGATTTGTAATACCCCAAATTTGACATTTTTTCAGTGCAAAAAGGTCACACAATAATTAATTTACAGGATTTTTTCAATAATAAATGTTATTCAACAGTATAAGAACCATCCATCCTTCTGTATTCAATAATCCAGAAGTGAAAAAAGAGTTAGATAGATTACATGATCAGTACGTACTGGTCCCTGCTGACAAAGCAGGTAACAACATTGTCTTTGTTTGTAAGGCTCATTATATTAAATGTATTTTAGAGGAACTTGGATTTAATTCTACAAGTGGTAATCCAACTTATACTCATAGTTCTCTTTCTAAGGAAGAAATTCTTCAAAATCATATGTCAGTTTTGAATATTTTTAATATTCCAAACAACCAAAATGAATTTGAATTACCATATTTATATTGGATTCCGAAACTTCATAAAAATCCTTACAAACAAAGATACATAGCGGGTTCCAGTAAATGTTCAATCAAGCCTCTTTCTTTACTCCTCACTAAGATATTAACAGTAGTGAAGGGGAAAACTTCAAGAGCACTGTGCAACAATATATTCGAGAAGTGGTGTAAATCAAATATGGATACTTAAAAATTTCAAGGAACTTTTGGAAAATTTGAAATCACAAGATTTTACCAAAATCAACAGCTTAAAAACTTACGACTTTTCTACTATATACACAACCATTCCCCACGATAAATTAAAATCCAGGTTTTTTGATATCACTGACAGCTGCTTTTTCAATAAAAATGGAACTCGTAGATTTACTTACCTTGTCATTGGTCATTTGCAAAATTATTTTGTTAAAAAACATTCTGACTGTACATACAAGTACTCTGAAGTTGACATTAAAATGATGCTTGAGTTTCTAATTGACAATATCTATGTGGTTTTTGGAGACCAGGTCTTCCAACAATCTATTGGAATTCCCATGGGTACCAATTGCGCCCCATTATTCGCAGACCTTTTTTGTATTCATATGAAGCAGAATTTGTCCAAAACCTTATACGTGAAAAGAAGAAAACACTTGCCGTGGCCTTCAACTCGACATTTAGATATATCGACGACGTATTGTCAATTCACAATTGTTATTTCCATTCTTATGTCGATACGATATATTCCGGTGAGCTTGAGATAGAATATACCACAGAGTCTGACACATCTGTTTCATGTTTGGATATTTTACTTGAAAAAGACGTTAATGGTAATCTAACAACCAAGCTTTATGATAAACGTGATGACTTTAACTTTTCAATCGTCAACTTCCCTTACTTATGCAGAATATACCTTCATTACCTGCATACGGAGTTTATATCTCTCAGTTGATTCGATACGCAAGAGCATGCTCTACGTATGTACAATTTCTAAAACGAGGTAAATTATTGACAAACAAGTTGATGAAACAAGGATATCAGCTGTCTCGTGTAAAGTCATCATTTCGTAAGTTCTATGGTCGATACAATGACCTTGTCAGCAAATACAATTTATCATTGAGTCAAATGCTGACTGACGTTTTTCATACTAATTGTTAGGCAATTATTTACAAACTGAATTGTCGACGGATTTTTCCGTTATTTCCCGATCATGACAAGGAGCATAAGGCGGGTGTGACCGGCCGGCAGGGGATACTCACTCCTCCATGGCACCTGATCCCACCTCTGATGTTTTGGAGGTTCGTGTTTGCTCTGCACCTATTTTGTAATGTTTAATGGAATTTTGAGCTTGGATACTGTTCGTTATCTCCATATATTTCATTTAAACTTTTTTACATAATTATAAAGAATTATATTTATTCCATGATTACATTTAGTTAAATCTGATTAAGGTTAAAATGATTAACATAAAAATTACAATTTAAGTGCAAAAAGATCAAGTTAATCGTACCGTTGCTCAGTAAGATGCACACTGACCCCCATTTTTCTTTGCATTTTTGAGTCATGTTATATGAATAGTTATCTTAGATATATACTTCTCAAAAAATCCTTGATATAACTCACATCACGAGTGACATACCATTAAAAAACCTGTCAGATAACTTTAATATCCGAATAATAATTAAAAACCTGTCAGATAACTATCATATCTGAATAATACTTAAAAACCTATCAGATATATGTAACTATAATATCTGAATGATAATTAAATACCTGTCAGTTAACTATAATATCTGAATAATAATAATTAAAAACCTGTCAGAAAACTATAATATCTGAATAATAATTGGTGAATCATGAGTATGTAAATTACGATTATGGAAAGAATATTGCCTTACCTTTAGATTTGTGTCCTTGGCATTCCATAGATTCCCAGTAGTACATACTCTGTAAACGTTGTTACCAATACTTTTTAAGAATGGTGAGAAGGGTTTTGAAATTCCAAGAGATATAAGAACGCCTATCTTAAAAAATATATAAAAATAAAATAAATAATAAATTAATAAATTTAAATTTAAAAAAAAATTGTCACCAATGAGTTGCCACACTGTAAATATTATTATTAAAAGTATCCTATGCCAAATTCTATTTCATTAATTATCGCCCGCATGGCACAATGATTAGAGTGTTTGCTTTAGCGTCGCAAATTCGAATCCACTGTGCGATGTGGAGACCCCGGGTGAGACTGTATAAACCTTGGTCCTGTATCGCAATAGGTGCTTGCAGGAAAAAGATTCTTTACTGTTCAAATTTCATAAGTGCCAAGTACAGGTCTAAATTTGCAGCCTCCACCGGCAAGTAGTGGCGTTTCAAGATGAGGGGAAAATTCTCAAAGAGACGTTAAACAACCAACCAACCAACCAAAGTTTTATTAGTTATTACGTGTACTTATTTTCGCCTGTTGAAAATTTAGCGCAAATGCTGGCCATGGACTAGATGGTGTAATCTTGGATTTGTGGTTTACAATACATTATTTTGTTAAATCTTATTTTTTCTGTGACCAGGAATTAGCGCACTTCTGATTGCATAAAAGGCACATAAATATGATCCTTATAAAACAACAAGTGCACTCACAGTTTTCAAGTTAAGAAATAGATGCCCCTTCGGTTATAGCAAATATCAAAGAAATGCCGCGGCCATTTTACTCCAATAAATCACAAACGTCATCAACAAATTCACTCTTTCATCTGAGAGAGGAACGAACGACAACTCTGCATAGGAGATTGCAATAAATTATCAGTAAATTTTGACTGCTTTCACGAAGAAAAGACTATTGGCATCTTTTGACTGTGAGTCAAACCGATGAGTAAAAAGTTTTGATTCGGACCACATCGCACTTTTTCTAATGCGTGAAGTGAAAAAGAACGAGGAGTAGCATCGTGACCTCATATAACATTTCTGTTGACATTGAAGTCTAGATTCTGTTTCTCTATAAAGTAATTTTTTCCCTTAAAAATCGCCTTGGCAGAGGAGAAATATTCTCTTGTAGTCGGAATTATTGGAGAACATACCCAATGGTCGCGAGATTTTGTTGGAAAAGAAAAACCTTGCCCTTCCGACTCGGTTTTTATTTCCCAACTTAATCTCTGGATTATATCAAGGTATTTCTCCAAGAATTCCTCCAACGACAAGGGAAAAATTTCTTGAATGATTACCGCGGCATTTCTTTGTTCTTTGCAATAACGTGATAGTGTACCAATACTATCAAAACTACCCTGTCTATTATGCTCCAATCAATTCAAATCGATTTTATCACAAGAAAATTGTAACTCACAAAATGACCAAGGCCTTTTAAACACCCCTCCATGACTCGGAGACTAAGCTTTTCCTCAATAGGTTCCGGTACCCTTACATCCAGATAAAAGGATAATATAACACAGAAGACTATGATAATTAAGGTACAGAAATATATATTCATTTTTGACCTAGGTCTGAAGGTGTCCGAATAGGTTTCAAAGGACTTGTCCTTTGATAAGATAATTTTATCTTTATTCCCCACTCGTTTACTTGGTCAGATAATATATATAAAATGTGAAGTATATATATATATGTATATATATATAAATAAATAAATATATATATGGTGAGACCGTGTGTCAAACCCAACATTAAGTTGCAATCACTACTAAAATAAGCCGACTAATGAAATAATAATTTCAGTGGAGAGTGTTACTTGGATAGAGATTTCAACATTTCTGCATGCTTAATTTTTTTTTTTTTTTAAAAATGATACATCTGATAAACGCAAACAATTTAAATTGTCTGTCAGCACAGTAATGGGTATCTTAATTATATAAGCTAAATTTCATGACTTTACATTCACCCAAACTAAACTGAAAATCTTCGGTAGCTAAAACATCTAGTTATGTTAAATTATCTTCGTGTTAGAAAGATACGAGGCTGACCAGTTAGCTTGAAAAAATTAAAACATGGAAAACGCAAATATTATTTAAGAGTTCTGACCTGCTTGCTGACTCTACCGTGGGAATTAATAAGTATGGACAAGATCTGTTACAACGTTAACAGATATGGATTTGATATCTAGTTTCACTCATTTTTTAAAATAAATACATGTAATTACTATTATAGAGGTTGATTTGCTCGGGATTTCGCGCCTGCTATTGTAAAAAAAAAAAATTAAAACAAATTCATACTAGTAATAGTAGTTTAGTTTGACATACGTTCTCAACCACTATTAAAACATAATTTTAATAGTAGTGGTTCCAACGTGGTTTTGGGTTGGAAATGCATTTTCAAACACTATTGTAACATTAATTTTAATAGTAAGTGTTATTTCGATAGTGTTTGTAACGTGGTTTTGAGATTAAAATGCATTCTCAACCACGATTGAAATAATTATTTTAATTGACTGTGGTTTATTTTAATAGTTGTTGAACCACATCCATACAAAATTAACAGCAAAAGACACCTTGCTGTTGAGAAATAGAGAGGGAGACAGCTCGCCCTCGTAAAACAGGTCTGTTTATCTATATTCATATGTCAAATAGTATTTCTGTATGGTTCTTTCTTCTTTGTTCATCGCGCAAAGAGTGCAAAGTATATGTTGGACCATTGCTTATGTCTGCGAGTTTAATTGTGTAGAAAGTGTTATTGTTTAAAAGCAAAAATACAAAAGAAGACTAACATATTTTAATTATAATTATAAGAGATAAACGATATATATTTTTTTTTTAGATTTTTCCCAACAGCGTTTATCACGTCTGCTTGTAGCAACTGTGTAGGGACTTGTTTTTACGAGATTTTTATTTAAAGGCTAAAAGTGTTTGGTGCTTTTGTTTTTGCACTTTTATTGACAAAAACATTATATGATCTTGTATAAATACAAACTGTAGATATACTGATAGTGCTAAATTATGATCGGGCCAAACAATTCATGACCTTTGTATAAATATACAAAATACTTCCATAAGGGCTCAAGAAAATCTTTAAGATGCACATACATGTATATTGTTTTCTGAATCCCTACATAGTATTTAAATATATTGGTAAATACTGTTTTTTATGATTTATGGAAACAGTTTCCAAAGATAACAAAACATGGGTTGTTGATCACGAAGTTGACTGATAACTTCCTCTCCCCCCCCCCCCCCCCCCCCTCAGATGGTCAACTTTTGTTTGTATATAAGTTTTTACTTCCCTTTTGGAATAAGTACATAATTCAATTAACTGACAAAATTTTCAAACAAATTATACGAACTAGGCCAAATGGGTGGGACAGTTCAACAAAAGAATAGCCAAAATTCAAGTCAAGCAAACGGACACTTGACCAAAAAGATAAATAAAGGTTGAATTTAACTTACAAAATGGCCGGTGCCTTTCAAACATCCCTCCATAACCCTGAGACTAAGCTTCTCCTCAATAGGTTCTGGAACCCTTACATCCAGATAGGAAGAAAACAGAACACAGAAAGCTAAAACAATTAACGTACACACATAAAATAACTTCATCTTGTACCCCTGAGATACGTATTTTCATTGGATAAAGGCTTATCTATGTCCATCGTGGTCATTTTGACCATGTAAACAATGGACTCAGGTAACCAATATTTACCAGTCAAGTACATGATTATTCATTCTTGTCTTTAGCTGTGCTTATTTCATGTGTTGCAGGGTTGTCAATATATTATTTAACAAATTCTTTTTTACGTACAGGTTTTGCATATAAAATTATCATTCAGCATATTTATTATTCATTTGGTAACTATTATATGTATTGCTAATAATCACGAGGCCCAAGTCAAAGAAATTGATGAAAAAGAAAAACACTTGATTTAATCAATCAGAAGGTTGATGATTATGTTCACTTTTCAGGATATGGTGGCATATTTCTGGCCTTTACATGCATAATAAATGTCAACAGTATATTAGTAGTTAAGAAAATAAGTAAGCATGCAAGTAAACAATCTTTATATTGAGAATGCAATTCTAATATATGGGTAAATTTAACAACTAACTCCAGTATCTGATACCATAAATGCTAGTTAAGCATATTTGTGTTAGTATTCGACTTATTTGTCGACATGCACCATATTTATGTTGTCATACGATTTATTTATGTTATCATGCGAGTTGTTATGTCGACATGCAACATAATTGTTGACATGAGACCTATTTTGTTCCACATGCAATATGATTTTGCTTTCATGAGACTAATTTATGTCAACAACTAGGTAATTATTTTGACATGTGACTTATGAATGTTAACATGCGAGATATTTATATTGTCATGCAATTTATTTTTCACCACATGCGAGTTAACTATGCATGACAATATAACATTGCATGTCGACTTCGTTAACACGCAAATCGCATGTTACCATAAGTATATGTCGCATATAAATCACATGCTTTATTACACTTCATGACAAATAAGTCGCATGTCAAGTTAAATGAGTATGTTGCATCGTGCAAGTAAAATGTCAAGTAAACATAAATTTGCCCGACTTAAAAATCAAATTCTCTCTACAAAAAATGTAACTTGCAGATGAACATTATCATTTATCATCGATGTAATCATAGCAATCTTGCATGCTGATAACTTTCCTCGCATATTGACGTCACAGATAATCTCGTGTTTTTATTGGAATACAGGTCTTATATTCGTGTAAAACACTAAAGAACTTCTAAAAATAAAGTTAAACAATTATCTTCGAAATTTTATATGTCTGATATGCTTTTTATATTGTATTTTTAACAATCCATGGCTTGGCTTTTGATAATGATATCAGATAATTTCTGGTTGCATATATATATATCGCGATATAAGTAAACGTTTGAATGAATTTACTTTTGCCTTTTATCTAAAGTCCCGTAGGGGTAAATTTAATTGTTAAACTAAAAGCAGTGAAAAGTGAACCTATATATTTTGTCCATAATTGTTAATCCTCATTTGATCTTTAAAGGTACACGACGAATAATCCCTATGCATTGTTTTCGTCAATCACAGTGAATGATTAGTCAATATATTTCTTTAGGTCCCGTTAGTTAAAAATTTTAAATGTGTCGAACATATTCAAATATCTAATTTGGTCTCCAGTTTAGAAATATTTCCTAAATTGACTTTTTAACATTGGACAAAGGCAGAATGCCAAAGTACAAGCTGACATATTTTGATCTAAGAGGACGAGCAGAGCCCACCAGGCTTTTGTTTACCGTAGCGGGTGTCTCATTTGAAGATGAAAGGATCAGAAAGGAACAATGGACAGCCATTAAAGACAGTAAGATCATATTCTATGTGTCCAAAAAGAACTTATATGAGTTATTCCTATCTTTTGTAGAATTAGACTTTCAACACGTATACAGGGGTTTATGATAAAATTATAATAAATATTCTAGGAAAAGCATTTTGCATGAAGTCGGGTTTTTGTGCATGTTTCATACCATACCTGAATACACTTATCAAAGTACAGCTTATTTTCAAAAAGAAATCATAAAGTAAACGAATCATACATTTGTGCATTTGTCTTTCAGAAACACCCGGAAATTCCTTGCCTGTACTGTCTGTTGACGGCTTTCTCATTTCACAAAGTATGGCAATAAACAGACATCTGGCACGAACGTTTGGTGAGTACGTTTCATAAATCGTGAATCGAACACATTTCAAGCGTACAAAATGAAAAAAGGGACTCTTTTTTAAGAATGATGATAAATTCATATGAAGAAATACAAATATTTTAGATTTTTTTTTTTCATATGTCTATTAACTGATTTGAAGGTCTGGACGGAGAAACATTGTCTCAGAAAGTAAAAGTTGATGAAATAGTAGAATGTCTGGTAGAGATGAAAAATAAAATGGCCGAACTACCGATGCTGAGTGAAGATCCAGTACGTCTGTCCTCACAGGCTTTGTGGTAGATATAGTAACATCTATCCGATCAGCGAAAAAAATTAATATGAAGAATCAAGGACAGCTCAAATAAAACTTAAAATGTTGCATCAATTAATATCGAGCGTGAAGGTTTCCAGATCAAATAAGCTTCAGGTTAAGATAGGTCCTTAATCTGAAATAGTTAAGTACTACTAGTAGTACATTTGTATACTCATTCGTTTATATTTCTTTGCAGTATTCTTTGTATTATACATATATACTGGAAAATGGTCACTCATTTCAATTGCACATTTTATATTTTTCAGAGGAAACAGGAATGGGCAAGGCAAATTTTGAAATCCTTCCAAGAGTTAATGGTAAAAGCATGTACCTTCATTGAAGCACAGATACAAAAGAACATGAAAGAGGGAAAAGGATTTGCTGTTGGAAATCGGGTAGTACTATATAAGTATCTTTAGTAACATATACCTATCTTTATTATCGATTAACAGCCATTTACCTCAATAGAAATGAAAACAAATTATTATTTTTGAACTTACTGCATTTCAGTTGACTTTTGCCGACATCATGATCTTTGAAGCATTTGAAAACATTTTAGCAACAAACAGCAATGCGCTGGACAAATGTTTGGGAATTATGAAATGCCGTGCGAAAGTGGCCAACATGCCCCGTATTAAGGAATACTTATCGAAACGACAACATACTAACTTTTGAAAAACTTGGTTTTGTTAAAATGTTTCTGAGATCTGAATGAGTCAAAGTATTATACTGGTAGATTATTCCTTCGGAAGAAAGTAACAGAGATCCCTTGGTACTGGTATGATAGATGTTCATCTTCAAATTGGTGACAAAAATTGAATGCCTTACAAATCAGATAAGCATGCTGACTCAAGGAAAGTGAGAATACATGTACTATCAGTGAATGACATGAAATATTTAAAGATCCTAATGTTATCTTCCTCTTGATTAAGTTGGTATATATTTTTAAAAATGTATGAACGTTGTGTCTTTTTTTTACCCACGGATATTATTGTCTAGGTCTTTTTTATCATATGTTCAAATAATGAAAAATATCCTTTTCTATTATCGTACATCTTATGCCTAAAATGCAATTCAAGAAATAATTCTTTGCTTACAAACAAAACCTCATAAATATTCAGCGTTACAGCGTAAAGATCGCTTGACCTTTCGAAGGGTAAACCACGTGTTTTGTTTACTGGGTAGAATTCCATAGTTTAACCACCCATTTACCTCATGCCATGTTCAAGAATTTTGTTTATTCAGTTAAGTAGACTTTCTGACCTCTGCTCTTCTTTTCTAGTGTCGCGATTCCGTCAAATTCAGCAGCTTTCCACAACTCCTGATATGCACTTGTGAAATATAATATTTACAATTGAAGCGAAATTATTTAGTGCGCATGTGTGTTACATATGTATCAGCCGTCTTGTGTTTATTGTGGACAATTATTATTTTTTCATCTTCCAATTTCTCTTTCCCAATAACATATGCAAACTAGATTTTGCAGTTTTCTGAAAGTGAGAAACTTTACACTGTAAATGAATGATGGTGGTAAATCATAATTATCAGAGATCAAATAGATCGGATGATACAGCTTTAATGTATTTGTTTAATTCAATAAACTGAAAATATTCATCTTTAAGTTTTATATTTAAAATTTTCTAACAAATGAAGCTCTTAAAGAAGAGTTTGGCAAGCTATGACAAACAAGTTGATGAAACACGGATATCAACAGTCTCGTTTGAAGTCATCATTCCGCAAGTTTTATGGTCGATATAATGACCTTGTCAGCAAATACAACCTATCATTAAGTCAAATGCTGATCGACGTTTTTCATACTAATTGTTAGGCCAATATTTACACACTGAATTGTCTACGGATTTTCCCGTTTTTCCCGATCATGAAAAGGAACACACGGCGGATGTGACCGATCGGCAGGGGATGCTCACTCCTCCATGGCACCTGATCCCACCTTTGATGTTTCTGGAGGTCCGTATTTGCTCTGCTCCCGACTTGTATTGTTTAAATTGACTTTGAGCTTGGATACTGTTCGTTATCTCCATATTTCATTGGATAAGTTTTGGATAATATTTGTCAGTGTTTTTAAAGTTCATCTGACTCAAGATGTGGTCTTTTTCTATCCTTTTTTTTCTCGTGCAGTATCTTAAGATTTTTTAATTGTATTCGTTTCTTTCTCTGAAAATACTGGGTCTCAGTTTGTCACTGAAGATGCGTAGGTTGTCTTTGAAATTCTTTACGCTTATGGTCTGTCAATCAGACACTGTTTCTATTACTGGCAGGAGTAAAAAGCTCTTAACCAAAGGTGTCTCTCGGTCCAGGGCCAAAGTGCGATTAAATTATTCATACGTTGAAAACCCAATTTTTTTTTTTTAAATCTTCAAACCTTCCAATAGATATGCATTGTACATGAAGACAAATCTCATGTAGTGCTTTCAGTGTTATGAGTGGAATCCTTTTGAGATTATAAAAGAAAATAACCCTACCAAAATCACGTTTTTTCATGTCAACTAATCTATGGGGTGGAGTTTAATTGATCGAGTTTTAATAAAAGTACTATCTTGAAGCATGTTCTCTTGCACTTGAGATCTATCAGTTAATTTGTTGTGCAATATAATAATTAGTTTTCTTTTTTACATTCAATGAGCTGTCTTTTTAAATTATTAAATTTCTTTCAATGGGCCCCATGTTTGACATGTGAAGAGTGGGGCTCATTGTGAAATACATTAACATATTAGACTCTATACTTCTTTTTAAAAATAAAAGCTTCAATACTTAATAACTCAGTATCTCTAGCAGAAAAAGTATTTATAAATTCCAACTGAACCATAAGCCATCATTTTACTTTTTGTAATTCTTGTCGGAACTAAATTTGAATGTGCATTAAATCTTAAATATCAATCTTAATCTTGTTTCAAAATTTCTCCGTAAGTATGATTTTACGATAGGTGACGCGAACGATAACAAAATGATACTGAAAAATATTCTTTAATATAATATTAATGAATAGGTTTTCCACTGACATGTTCGTGTATCACTTTAAGCTACGTTTTCCTTTCACTGTTGACATATAAGCAATGTCAAAAAATTAAAAATGAATTTCTGTTATTTGTCAGTGTATTCAACACAGATTGATAACTCCATATGAAAAATTCAGACTCCAATGAATTATTTTTTATTCAGTAACTGTTCTTTAAGCTGTGCTTGTTTACCATAAGTTCTTTTCATATCGGTATCCACAATCTCCATTGCTGATGTAGTGGTTCTTTGAGATTGAAGGTATTTTCCCTTGTCAGTAATGCTTATGCCAGCACTGTTGCTTTTCTCTTTAATACTTGTAAGAAACCTGATTTTTTGTGACTCTGTAAAATGACTGTCAATGCGATTGTTTCTTTTCACTGGAATATCTAAACTCCTTGTGGTTGAGGCCTTTGGAAGATCTCTCAGAACTTTTGCCTTCAGAAAAGGCCTGTTACAGGTATCTCCCACCAGAGGCTTGTCTCCAATCGGAGCAAACGATGCGTAATCGCCTGGCATTGTGGGAGATTTGGGAATGCTGGGAAGTTTGGGATACGGGAATAAAACCAGAGATCTCTGATACACTTCATGGTCACTAAAACAATCCCAGATAGAATTTGATGATGGCTTCATGCTTCAATAAATCAACACAGTGATCTCAAAAAGGGTTCCAAATATCTATCCACTCTGAAGTTTTACTTCTCAAGAATGCTCCTAAATTAAACTGGTTTCATTGCGTTTTTAATATATAAAAGGAATGTTCTGTTCTTGTTGTTTGTGACTGGTCAGCGAAGACAAAGAAGAATAAGAAGCTTAGAATTGACCAATGACAGATTTAGTATGTTAATCTGGATCTGCTTACATAATACAGTACATTTAGTCAATTAGAAACAGGTTTATGCCGTCCTTGTAAATATAAGTTTAAGAAATTACGATTTTGTTCCCTTTGTATGCTAAATTATCGATATGATTATCGATGGAGTCATACATTTATGATTTAACCATTATAAAGTAACAGGGAATTGACGGATCATTTTTATATGCAATCATTTTGGTTTTAAAAGTACCTGATAATGTTTGGTTTTCACGATGCCATACTTCTACATATAGAAGGTGCATTTGTCAGGTGAAGTTTTATTTTGTATACGAAGAACTTAATCGATAAGGTATTCCTTAAGGTTCGCCTGATTATCTTTTGACTAGAGTCTTAATGCACTAAATATACATCCAATAAAGGTCTCCGAATCTTTAGTCTAGCCTAACTGATAGCCAGACAGAAGCAAGGATCAATTACGCCTCTTTTTTCATTCTTTCGTAATTTTTTCTCAATAGAAGGGAATTTAATTTTGGAATTTTTGTTAAAAATATTAATTAAAAGAGAAGTTTAAACTTTGTGAAGTGTTTAACACACAAGTTTAATAGATGTAACAAGGTTGAAAACACATAATTCCTCTATTAAAACATCCAGGAACATATTTAAAAAATAACGTAAAAAGCAATGCAATAGATGTAACAATGATTGTGCAAATCAGCAGAACTCAAAATTCCAAAAATGTCTCCAAGGTGTAAACATGGTCAAAATACTAGTACTCCCATAAAAGGAAACCAAATACATGTACATCCGATTAAGAAATTACTATCACAAAAAATAATAATCAATATACATCCAAAACAGATGCTCAAAGTGAAGACTTGAAAAGGTTCAGTAATGTAAGCAAGTAAATATGTAGAAATGACATATATTAAGTAAAAATGGCACAATGTTTATATAAACAAACCATAGCTTTACTTCTTAATCATATCTCTTAATGTTGCTTGTTTAGTGTATGTCCTTTCCATATCAGTGGTCACCTTTTGTACAGATGTGGCTTTCTGGCGATTGTTAGGCTTATTTGATGTTTTCGAAAACAATTTACTTGTTTTCTTTTGATATTCGGTGTCTGAGTTACAAACACTATATCTGTTTAAAGAATCTGAGAATCTTGTGTTTCTTCGATTGTCTACTTTCCCGACCCCCTCTGCGCAGGAGTCTTTTTCTGCTGTGTCGTTTGGAACTTCTCTCAACAGCTGAGCTTTCAGAATGATTCTGTCACCCACTAATGGCTTGTATTCATACGATGAGGGATTCGTAACTAAGGTATCCAGAGTTTTGGCACGTGCTTGAGATGGAAACAACACAAGGGATCGCGCATAATTCTTACTTCCACAGTCGGAGAGGGAATTCGTGGACACGTCCTTTGATTCCAGACCTTGTCCTTCCGATACATTAGGTCGCATTTCATGAAGACTTGTTTGACTTTTGTAGAACCATTTTGGGGTCGGTCTTAGAGATCGTTTCAGATGTTCTGTTGTATCTCCATAATCCTGCTTGTTTGTGGTCACAAAAGTAGAAGACGGAAGTGTTGAGGCAGGTGCTTGAAACTTAAGAGAGTTTCTTCTTTTCTCCGAAACTGGTCTAAAATTATAATTGGATCGTTTCACTTTTTCTGCAACCTTTGATTTATTCCTGTAGTCAAAGTTCGTATCTGGAGCGAACGAAATTTTCACAGGGGAAACTCTTGGAGTGTACCTGACGACCGTGTCGACCGGAAAATCGGTATTATTGGGATATCTCACAAACACGGCCTCCGGAGTGTTCCTCTTTCCTGGTTTCAAGTCTGCAGATACGCTGTTATACACTATAGAGCTTGTCATTTTGAATCTATCAACAAAACGTTGTTACTTATATTTTAAATCCGTCCACTACCTTCAGTTAAAATACTTTTTCCCGATTACGATAACAGCATGTTTGAGTGTCGATATGAACTCAAAAGAAACAGCACTTTTGCATATCAAAGATATTTTCAGGTGAACTGAAATGGAAGAAACGTTTTGTCCTGGCTAAAAATCGTTTACTTTCTTTGTGAAGAAACTAATCAATCTAGGTGCACTGAAATCTGTGTTTCATTCATTCTTTACACCAGGGAGTATCTCTGGTTATTAAGTTGAGGAGATTTAATCAAGTGCTTAAGACTGAATTAAAATTTAAATATTTCTAAACGATTGAACATTCACTAAATAAATATTCGCTTTTGTTCACAAAATGAGATTAAAGGTATTTAGATAGAATTCAAACAATAAGTCCTGTCGACCTAAACATGTGACAGACAAATAGGCATAATCAAAGATGACAGTTTTAACAATGCAACAAGTGTTTTATCGTTACAAACCAATACATAAACACATTAAATCATTGTGATTTTAGTGAACTATTTAAGTTCATTTCTAAGTATGACTCTACTTTTCAAATTGTCATTCCGTATTTTTAAGGGGGGATTTTTTTTCTATAAAATCATACGTACTCTCATACCGTTTTATCATAAATACATAACCATCATAACAATTATATACATGTATATGACTAAATATATGTACATAATATACAATGAAAAAGGGTGAAGTTAACAAACAGTAATCAATCTCATAAATACTTCAAACAATACAAATCTGTGAACAGGACATTAACACGGACCCCTGGAAATTCCAGAGGTGAGATTAGGTTCTTAGGAGGAGTAAACATCCCCTGTTGACCGGTCACACCCGCCGTGAGGCCTTTGCATAGATCAGGTAGACGGAACATTCCGTAGTCAAATTTAGTATAAAAACAAAAGTCTAACAATTGGAAGGAAACTGTACAATCCCTTTATAAAATATTATTAATAAACTCAGTTGAAAATCTTCTCTGCTTCTCTGAAATATATATATATATATATATATATATATATATATATATATATATATATATATATATATATATATATATATATATATATATATATATATATAAATACTGGACAACTCGCCCCCAAGACAGGTCGCCCCTAAGACAACTCGCCCTCTATTTAGGACAACTCGCCCCCAATTCAAGACAACTCGCCTCCAATTTAACAAACCAAGAAATATTAAATATATTATATAGATATTTGAATTTGAAAATGTTCCTAGAAAGTTAAAACAAACAACTGAAAATAAAATTTCTCCATTTTATTGAAAATAAAACACAACACAAATAATTTAACACTAATATCTATTGTGGGTACTGCTACTTTTTTTTATCTTCACTAAATTCCATATTTGTTTACATTTTCATCACAAATAAAACTAAATATATGTAATTTTCAGAGCTTTCATGCTTTAATTCTTCATAACGTTGAAGCTGCTTCGGAGCTTGGATACGGCATGCCAATTTTTTTTAAACAACTCAATATGCGTATAATTTTCGGAGCTTGCATGTTCTAATTAGTCGTCACTTTGAAGTATCTAAATTAATTGTTAGCTTGGGGGTGTCATTAAATTTTTTGTCTGATGTTTTCATTTAATTAGTAATAATCATTATCATAAGTTTCTTAAAGCAGTCAGTTAAACGTTAATATCGTCTTTAATTAATTAAGTTGTTTTAACACTGAGGACAATGTGCTCTTTTAAAATAGACATCTTTTATAAATATGAATTTAAAAAATGATAAATCAAAATGCATTTATTCACTCTATTTCATAAGAATCAAATGTAAGAAGGCATGGATATTATGATAAATCCTTTATGCATATATTGTGTTTTTGCACAAAAATATGATGTAAATGCATAATTTAAAAAAAAAACAGCTATATTACAATCGTAAATATTGATTATATTTTAAATTTTCATATAGAATATACATAATTGAATAACAGTTATTTTTTTCCCTTGCAATTCACAAGAAAAAATAATGGGGGCGAGTTGTCTCTATAATGGGGGCGAGCTGTCTTGACTGGGGGCGAGTTGTCCTAAATTGGGGGCGAGCTGCCTTTAATAGTGTTGGGGGCGACTTATCTTGGGGGCGAGTTGTCCTGATTCCATATATATATATATATATATATATATATATATATATATATATATATATATATATATATATATATATATATATATATATATATATATATATATATACCCGGAGCTGATCTAATGAAGGCGACTCTTCCTGTGTTGATGAATATTTCATGACATTTCTTTATTTCGTATCACAATTAAACATTATTTGCTGGCAGTGTTTTCTGTTTTAAATACACAATTTAAATTTTATCATAATGGATTTTAATGTATGAATGTACTCAATAGGTAGAATAATTTAACATAAAGTTGGGTTTAAAAATGTGTGTAGGTTTCCATGTGCATCTATCAAATGCACTTCGAATTACAACCAATTAAACTTATATGAAGTGATGTGAACACCTGTTTATATTTATGTTGCATTGATCACTTCATCCAAATCTCAAGACATAATTGAATCGTCAAAATGCTCTTTTTTGTTTTATTGGTTTATATTTATTGCTTTCTATAATTCATAGCTTTAATTATGGGGTTCCTTGTTGCGAACCCAACATTTTCTTCTTTTTTTTTTCGAAATAATTGTTCTATATCAGAATTGTCTATAACTTTATCATAATGTGATGAAGAAATTCCTGCATTGCTTTTTTTTCTTTTTAGTTATGGTATTTGTGAGAATTACAATTTCAAATTTGAAAAATATGAGACATCGGGGATGGGGAAAAGAAAAAAAAATTATCCAGACAAAATTCAATTTAGCGAGTCCATCATCTCAAACAGATTTGTGAGTATGGAAAAAACACGTTTCTGGTAACAATCGCATTAAAGACAGATCTAACGGGGCAAAAATGAGTAGTTGGCTATCAGTTGTGTTTCTCAGTTTATCAAAAGAGAGTCAAGTGTGATCATTCGATAAAACATATTCATGTTTTTAATGCATGAAAAACAAGATTTTGTCAAAATTTACATTTTTGGGAGAAAATCCTTTCAACATATTTCAACTACGTATTCTTACTAATCACTTCATCGAAAATATGCAAAATAATGAATCACTAACTTTGAATTATAGAAAAACGAGAAAAAAATGTATTTCATTTGCTGTCTTTAGTTTATTTCATTCCTAGATTCAATCAAAATTAATTTTGTCAAACTGAAAAAATCAGAAAACAGAAAATGTCATTGGAATCATCGTTACATATACCAACAATGTAGAGCAATTTAAACTTAAGAGCAAATGATACAAAAAAGGATTGATATAGATTTTTGAACATAATTTGGCTGTAAGTGATGCAAATATCAAATTTCTAAAATATTAAGAGATGTAAACTTTCTATGATGTTCAAAATTCTACCTGTTTGTTGTCACCCTTATAAATCTTTACAACTTTTCATCACTTTAACATTCATTACTGTGTTTTTATCCTTTGTTACTTTATTCGTTGAAATGTCACACTGTCTAATGGAAACATATAAAACTTAGTACCTAACCAAGTTAAATAAAAAAAAAAGTCATTAAAACAAAGGTAACTGGTCATTAAATGCATTAAGCCACTGAGCTACCAGAAGGATACGGTGATAAGGTGTAATTTGAATGTTTCGTTGAGGATGTCAAATCTCTTAACTTACCCAGGTCATTTGTACTGTACATTGATTAATGACTTTTTTTCAATTTACGTCTTTCAGGTATTACTTTAAATGGCTTCTGAACACAACCGTTGACATTTTGCACAAACATGATTTACGATACGGAACAACATTCGCAATTCCGTGCATTTTCCTCCATGGGATTGTCATATAAACGTTGTTCCGCCTTATCGGACATGTTGGCTTCTTTCCTGGAATTGGAAAGCGAAAACTATTCAGCAAAATTTTTACACTTATAAAAAAAATTATACGTATACAGTTATGTGTCAATTTTCTTTTTTTTTTCACATGAACATTGACATAAAAACAGTGTTATCTGTATTACCCAAATAACCTTTCTAGGCTCTTCTTGCTATGTAAGACCGCGGAACATTAACTGGCAAAATTGGAAATATGCAGCTTACGTCATTTCCACCTGTTACAGTCAAAACAAGGGAATGGGCTAGTTTGAAAATCATTTTCAATCCACCTCAGCTACTCTAAAAGGCAATGAGTTACTGATTGACCCAGGAGACAAATAATTTCAATTTCTGAATATATTAAAATTTAAATATATAAATCAGATTTTCTGACCAGTGTTTTTAAAGAAATATAAAGGGACAAATATTGATTACTGTTAGGTATGTGCATGCATGTGTTGGTGGGTGGGGGTGGAGGGGCTGAACGATATTAAAAAGAAAGTTTTTTTTTCAGTTTGGACAACTCTTCCCTTTTTTTGATTGTCAAATATTTTACAGTGAAGACAAAACTAAAGAAAATACATATGTACCTCTTGTCATTCTAGAAATAAATATATTTTGGCATATGAAAGCATGACCTGACTCGACAACCCCCCCCCCTTTCAAGAATCAAATAGCCATCCCCTGAAAAAAATAATCTGTCTTCTATGACTTTTACTTGTCCTTAAAACTATAGGCTAAAAACTCATACAAACAATGATAAATATGAATTTCAAACAACATGTATTTGGGAATAGAAATTATTTGTCTTTTGGATCATACATTCACACTCTGCGTTTGAAAACAGCTCAGGTGGATTGAAAATGAATTTCAAATTAGAATTTCAATCCATTGTTTTCTCGGACGTCCGTGCCGAATTGTACCCGCCCATTTCATTGTCTATCATTAAATGTTTTGACTGTAACAGATGGAAAAGACGTAAGCTGTATATTTCCAATTTTGCCAGTTAATCTTCCGCGGTCTTATGTTTTTTTTTTCCAAATTACATGAACTCTTAACAAACTTAATGTAAAGGGGTGATCAAAAAGTTCGCAAACTATCTCCACATTTACAAAACCACAATTCAGATCAGAATGAAATTTGGCACGCAAATAGTCATACACATGTTCTATAAATAACAGATGTTTTACAATGTTTTGCTCCGTGTTTGAGACGTCACAAAGTGAAAATTACGTCAATGTATAGGTGATTTGTGATAAAAAAAAATGGTTGACTCAGTCGTACTCGAGAAACGAACGGTTGTAAGTTTAAAGTATATCTTGGAGATTCCTTTGCAGTAGAATATAAAAATTGAATTTGTACAAGGTTTATGAAGACAAAAGACTTACCAGAAGTTCAATCATTAATTGGATTGATTGTTTTAGTGAAGGCAGGGAGAAGGTTAAAAATAATGTTTGTTCTATTGCCCAGCGAAAGCAGTTGAGCGATTTGTTATGAAACCTCGCCAAGTTACGATAAGAAAACTATAATAGCGAGCGAAGCGAGCTCAATAGACTAACGTGTAAGAACAGAGGAAATTTGGAATGACAAATACGTCAGGCAAATTTTGGTGTGAAACCTTCCCAGAATTCCCTCACTATCAGGATTCCATGCGATAATGGCGATTATAAAATATAAAAGGCCTGCAGTTTGCTGAGAACTTAAAATTATAACAAAAAATAATTGCATTTACTCTACACGTATTTCGTTAAAAATTGCACTAGGCCTGTAGTCTCGTTCAACCAGACGATCGGTTGTCTCCGTAAATTCCGACGTGATGTGACGTCACAGTCTAGACTGTGTCTCGTGCAGTTTGGAAGTTTGAAGAGATCAAAGTTTACAAGTGTAAGCTGTGTAAAGGTTTTTTTTTTTTTTTTTGGTTTTTGTTTTGTTTTTTTTTTTAATGGTGCAACTGAGCTCGCCCCAACGGTCACGCCGTAAAACATATCATAATTATTAAATCCCTAAAATATCGTTTACTTTAGACTTTAAACATATGAGATATGATAAAAACAAGGCGCCCATACTCTATCCACATTGGATAAACGACGCTCCCGAGACAAAGGACTGGGGTTGTGATGGTCACCATGTTAATTCTGGGAAGGGATATCCTTATCCACCTATCTTATTGCCGAGATTTGGCCATTTCTGACAAGATGGACTGTACTTATTATAAAAAAAAATAACTTGCATGGTAAGAAATATAAGACTCGGAAAAATCTTTTAGCTTCTGTGAACAGACCGCTACGGAGCATGTCACGTGACCGCCTTGATCACGTGATTCGCGCATGGGCACAACAATGGCAGATATACATTAAAATCGGAGAGGATCACTTTAAAAAATAATATACACTGAAACCTCACTTTATTTCTTTTAAGGAAGTAAATCAATAAGTTCGCGAACTTTTTGATCACCCCACGTAATTTATTGAATAGGTTATTACATGTATTAAAAAATGTACTTATTACTTAACTCCTAGTAAAGTGATTTTTAATGAACATTCTTGATTTGAAAGAGAGAACTGGACGACTTTGTGTTGATTGTGTTGAAAGCTTTATGTCAATCATTTCTCTTTCGTCAAGCATTGAAGTTTTAAATTATACATACTGTAAAGTCTGTTTCCTCAATGTTTCTATCTTTTCTGGAAAAAAATAAAATTGTTTTGATGCTAAACTTCTTCAATATTCGTGTATCAATAATGTTTTATTTTAGCATGTTGTCTGTATATCAATGCTCTGGCGATTAACAAACGGCACTTCGTAAATTAAGTTTAAGCAAATATAAAATACCTACATGTATTCAATTTATTTCTTCATTCATTTACCCCGCTTACAATTTAAGGGATTTCGGAAGACTGTTACATTTTTAAAACGCTTAACGAAGATAAGATCTGTTACTCATTCTTATTATAAATAGGAAGTATACCCATATTTTTAATTCTTGTGACTTTCATATTCTCATAGTCTTCACTTTGGGGTAACTTACTAACACCGATACTGAAAAATCATTTGAAAGTAAATCACTAAAAAGAGGAAAGCAGGAAGTCCAAGATCATAAAAAACAAGTAAATTTACTTTTCCATAACCAAAGACTAAAGAACACAAAAGAATTAAAGTATTGATAGATTTTGTCTTGCCACTCACTCTGTGTTGTTTCCCTGTTTGGCTTGCTGAACTTGACATTTGCATTTGATATTTGGATTACCTGTAAGTAAATCAAAGATATTTTTGGAAAATGTCGCTAAATGCTCATTTAAAAGGCATTAAAAGGTAATTTGATAATTTTTGGTATCTTGTTTATCTTGATTAAAGAAAGGTATGTAGTTTTTAAACAGTCCTTGCAAAGATTATTATACGTGTTATTCGAAAAAGTTTACCTTTTAATTGACATTTAATACATTTCTTGTCAGTCATTAGAATATATCCTCTCTCGGTGACATCTGAGTCACTGAAAATAAAGATCAGCTTTGTGTATTTTGTCACACATTTGTATAGAAAATGGACACGGATATAGACACAAACTTGCATCGAGGCATATATACTTCCATCCATACAAACATACATACACACAAACATACAACTCTACCTTTTGTCTTGTTGAACATTTTCATAAATATCAGCTGTAATAGAAAAGAATTATTTATTGTAAAGTGAAGGTATCGTAATTATTCCTGTTATCTCTTACTAGTATATATTTCCTTCAGGGTCCTGTACAACCCTTTCATTAACATCACGCAACTTCTCTACTTTTTTAATCTCGATAAATTTATGAATTTAGTGTCTTTGCCACGTTGTATCGAATTTTGAATATTTAAAATATGAACTTTGTGAAAGAATGACTTTTACTTCAGTAACAGTAGAAATAACATTATTGTGTAGCTTTTTATCCTTCCACTGATAATGAATGACTGGTCATATACACCATACATACCATCTCCCATATTAATTCTTCATAATAATAATTTCCTCGTGAACATTCGCCTTCAAGAGTACAACTTTGCTATCGAGATTTACTATCAAGTGTATATGGTCTATGTTGCTTAAAATATAGCACAATCTTCCCTCACAAGACAAATGATTATTCTCCAAACTTCTCTGGGAAAAAAAAAAAGAAAATGAATTTTATTAGATACTGATATCAATTTCTATTTCCATTACCAAATGTGATTGAAGAAAAGGTTCGCGATATTTTATCTCCATAAGACATTTTAATCATTTTGTTTGAATAAAAAAAATTAAGAGAGTTCTTCATAAAGTATTTTAATAACGACTTCATGGTTAGAAAATACCTTATGATATTCGCGTAATGTACAATATTGAATAATTTAAAAACTTTTTAAAAAGTTCGATATATCATTTCTCTCTCTTTTTTTTTTTAATTTAGCGATATTAAATAAGAGATGTATTTCGTATACGTACCTCTAATGAAAGATATGAATATTCTTATTTCCATTTTCAAAACGAGTTATCTTCTTCCGGGAGATAAATATTAAGAGCCAAGTTGATCCTATAAACAAAAGCGCGCTAATGTTGGAAAACGGGAAGTTTAAAGCAGGAAATGATCTTACTTTTTAATTACATTTTCCTGAAAATGAATGACATTAGAAATATTGAAATAACATCGGAACATGAAAATTTATTTATAAAATACATTCCACTGGGAATGCTAATATTCCTTACAAAAGGAACAAAAATGCAAGATAATACCCAAACCCAAAGGAGATAATTTAAACACTCAATTATGTTATTGGAAAAACTCACTTTACGATAGGTTTACGACATCCATTTTGCGTATTTACTTTCGAATTATATTTCCCAATATATTACAGACATCCTATATACTTTTTGTCTTTCTAATTTACAATTTTTGGCATGAGGAATTCATGGGCCTAAATTGTTTACCCATTCAAGAATTAGTACAATGGTTTGTACAAAACTTATATTTCACGCTGTATGACGATATTTGCATACTGTAGAAAAAAATTGTCTTCTTGAGTAATGCAAGAATCTCCTAGACCAAAACTTTTAACAATAAATTTTGGCAAAGATTTGATACAGTCCTATCTTTTAAGTTATCCTCAAAAAGATTTGTTCGTATTTTTCTCTTCCTTTCACAGTTAAACTTGTTATTTTTCGGATGGCCATTGTGCCTCCAGGGAACACAGAACTGATTAGTGAACAATGTTATATATGAATCAGCGCTAATATTGTCTACATTTCATTTCTTTTTTTTTCCAATAGAATAAGTTAATATGATTTTTATGTCTTCAGATCATGGCACCTGATCCCACCTCTGATGTTTTAGAGGTCCGTGTTTGCTCTGCTCCATAATTGTATTGTTTAATGGACTTTTGAGCTTGAATACTGTTCGTTATCTCCATATATTCCATCATTGTTATATAGATATGTAAATTATGGAATGAAAGTCCTAGGCCATTTTGTAACAACAGTAAAACTTGAGTAATATTTTCAATACTATACAAAATGTTGCGTGAATTAAAAAAGAATATTACGGACATTGTACGCTTTAACATACATATTAAGTATATTTTCTTCTGACATTTTCTCTTGCAGATTAATGTTTTACAGTTTCTTATTTTACTTGCATTTGATAAACCAATGGTTAAGATATTTAAAGTTTTTATCCTACTTCTTTGCAATAAATATCATTTAAGATTTCTAAACCCAGAATTGGAAAAGGATTAAAAGAAAACCTATGGTTTTTCTCCATAAGTATGATCAGTAAGTTTATTCTTATATAGTTTATGTTTTACTGACTATAAATATTGATGGCCAACTAAAAACTACACTATATAACAAACGGGAGGACTTCAGCTTTTCCATCAACAAATTCCCTTATTTATAAAGTTACATACTACTATCGCCTCCATTTGGTGTTTACGTCTCCCAGTTGATTCGATAAGCAGGAGCATGCTCTGAGTACCAACAATTTTTAAAAAGAGATTTGCTACTGAAAAATAAGTGGATGTTACAGGATTTTCAACAATCTCGTTTAAGTCAGCATTACGCAAATCTATGCATTATTATGAGTTCGTTTACAAATACAACCCATCGTTGGGTTGTATTTTGAATAACACATTTCATATATACCAATTGTTAGGCCACTGTTTTACACTGATTTTAGCTACGGATAACTCCGTTTTTCCTAATCAATTCAGAGGGCTCACGAATGGTATGATCGGCCGACATGGGATGCTTTCTACTCCTAAGCATCTGATCCCACCTCTGTTATTTCGAGGGGTCCGGGTTTTTTTGTCCGGGTCAAAATTTGTATTGTTTAAAGGATTATGAGATCGATCACTGTTCGTTTTCATCACCTTTTCCATTCATTTATTTTTCATGTACTTGTATTGCTGAAATGGGATTTTGGATTTAATTTGCAAATATTCCTATTGAACATAAATGATAATGATGTCAATATCATATCCATCTGCCTCTCACTAGGAAATGTACCAAACAATGCAAAAAGAGGTATAACAGAGGCTAAAGTATTAATCTTGAAAATTCTTCTTTCAGCAAATCACAGTTTCTTTAAACCAGAAACAGAAAATCAAAAAAAGGTTTCGCAAAAGCGTAATCCATTCCATATCAATTATGTCAACCTTAGCCATAGATTCTGTGTATGATATATAATAACAGAAAGTCGACACCACGTGAGACTTGCTCTGGGGTCAAAATGGTCATAACATTTGACCGGGAATACTGCAAATCTATATGTCCGCATTCATGTTCAAAAAACATCCTGAAGGCATTTGGTTAACAGACTTCTCTGACTGATTTGTGACTATTACAATTAGCCCTTGTTAAATTATTGCACCTTATATATAATTAAGAGTCATGCTGTTGCGTAAGGCACGTTATGTTTTATCTCGTCACGAGTGCAAGAGACATTCACAAACGATGTGAACTTTTCCTTTATTTCCCCAAAGTGATTCATTCCTGTTAAGGACAGACGATACGTTCCTCAATAATATATTATTTTTTCTAAGATTTTGCCATTGAAGTATTTCTACTTTAATATGTTTACTCGCAAAAAATTGAGGTACCTCACCAGGCATTTGTGCAAGATACCGGAGGATGTTGTTTCCTAGAAAATCCTTTTAGAAAAAAACTTGATTTGCCAATATCACATTTATTAGTGTTTCAATTTTTTAAAGACAATTAGAAACCAGTTTAGAAATCAGAAAGCATTTAAAATTTTCAATATTTTCCATACAATACGAAGATATACAAAACAGATATTTGAGGAACGTATCGTCTGACCTTAAACCTACGCAATTTTTATGAAATTTTTAAATAAAATATCGAGCGCTGTTTTCAAATTGTTTCTGCAAGTAAAATATGCATTCTATTATCAAATGGGGGGGGGGGGGGGTTATATATCATAAAACATTTTTATTCAATTTTTATACCTAGATTTTCAAGTATCTAGTAATGGGGGTGTTAATGTTTTTAAAAAATCAATCTATATTAAGAATTGCTGACACTAATGACTAGTCAAAGTTCTATGTATAAGATAAAACAAATATTAAGCATTGTACTTTAGGCACATATATACGTTAACGCTGTGTATTTTACCAGTATTAAGTCGTCCCAACTCCGTTATCATGTATACTACATAGTGTAAAGTGTACAGGTGATCCACTCGTCATCTGTAATCTAATTATTTTGACAAGCGGTTTTAACGCCCTTATAATTGAGGTAATGAGGTTTTGACCTCACAATCACTGTAAAATCATTATACTTCTGGGAAAAAAAATTAATTTCGATCATTCTAGTTTATTTAAGCTATTCTTCAGACCGATTTTTTTAAATAGACTTTACAAAGAAATTTTTAAAAACAATATCAGCGAATCAGCCCTGCTCTATTCCAGTTTTTCATTTGATTACATCTCTAGTTTTTAATGATTATAATTACATCTAAAGTTTGTAATGGTTATATGTCAGTACCTCAGACAGATCACACATTTAAGTTTGTTTAAGTTGTACATCTGTGTTATGACCATTACCGTAAAAAAGCATATAGATAAAATTCTCCAATTAAAAAGTACTTTCTACATTAAGAATAAAATAATGAATCCGTTTTGACTTATGTAAAGAAAAAATAATAAATCGCTTAAGGCAAAATATAAAAAAAGACTAAAGGTCAGCAGGGAGTTAAAATATTTTTTTTCACATTATGGGTTGGATGATTTCATTTATTGAAGAATAATTTACTTTTTAGCAATTTTAGCAAAATCATACGCTTTGCACTACATAAAAACCCCAAAAATATCGCTTATGGCTTACTTACAACCTTTGTTAATAGATATATACATGTATAGTTTATCTAAATATCTGTTACTGTTGTACTTTGTTACTTTAAGTTATTGGAAATATTTTTTATTTCACCGAAATAAGGCTTGCACTTTTTCATGCGACAAGAAATTCGAAAGAAAAATGCCATAACACCTCAGAATTAGTATCTAAGGTCCCAACTAAATGAATATTTTCTTTAGAGAATTCTGGTCCCATGATTAAGAAGCAGATTTAGATTTAAGTCAAATTTTAAATTAATTTTAAGATACTTATTGTCAACTTGAATTATAAATGTGTAGATAATAACATCTTGATAATGCAATATTCATTAGTGATTTATTTTGTACTATTTAACTTCTACATCATATCAGCAGTATGTACATATTTTGAGGTAAGTTTAAGATGTTTCATGTTATCGGGGCCTGGATTTCTTAGACAAAACAATTGCTTTTAGTGGATTAAACAGTTCGAATTTTCAACTTTCTGTTACTTTTTAATTAATCATTAACTACTTTAAAATGTATAACTACATGCACTCGCGCATTTCAGTTTTATTCGAAAAAGTCAACAACAACAAAATTATCAGTGGAAAACAAAGTTGTTGTTTTTTTCACATTAGATGGGGCCTACTTGTAATCATTTTTTTTACCCCAATGATAAAACAGAACCAAAGAAAGCTTATATTCTTTGTAGAGCAGTAAGAAAAAATACCTTGCTGACTTAAAAGTATATGTAAACTTTAAGACAGTCAAACATTGAAATGTGTCAGAGAGTCTTACTCTCAGTAACACATAAGATTCTGTAGAGTTTAATATTTCTGGAGTAATAGTAGCTTATTTAGATGTAATTTAGACCTTTGACGACAAAAAAAAAAACGTTTAGATTCATGTAGAAGCTAACAAAATTAAACACAATCTAAATTTCACCATCATGTGTTTCTGATATGTTTAGTTACTCTTCTCAAGCTTATCTTTTAGAAAAATGATTAAGTTAAACACTTAACGAAAATTAATAACATATCGAACTCTGAACCGACTGATCATGACAACAGAGAGATTTTTGAGAGTCCAGGAAAATATTTCTATACTGAGGCTTACTTAATTATAGAAATTTATTTTAGATAAAACACGATTCTCAAATTAACGTTCATACATGCAGTCATAAATTAAAAAAAATAGATGTATAAGCACGGATTTTTTTAATAACACTTGTAATGCTCCTTGAAATCTACATCATGTACAGAATATTTAAATGCATAATAATACAGATCAATTAGACTTAACCAACTAATAAAAATTGCGTCAAAACGGGAAACATTTTAAAAAGTTGGTGTATTTACTTAATGTTCTCTGTTTAATATTGACCTTCATTCGTTTATATTCACGAAAGGGAAGGAAAAACTATTCCATTTCCTTTCAGTTCACATATAGGCATAATTACCAAAGCTTCATACCATGTTTGATTCATTTTCTTCCTACTTTTACAGTCAGGGCTGAAGTATTGCACCTGTAAACATGTACTGAAACCGTGTGCCTTACATGGGAAGAAATATTTGTACAGTCGATAATCTGCAAAAAAATTCATTGTTTTGTCGTAAAAAATAATATGACGCATTTGGTGACGATAAACGTTGTTTTTATTACTAATATTCCTTAATGATTTTCCTTGTAATTTGTTTCAGATGTTTATGTAAAAAGTGTTTTAATAAATCCCCCCAAAAAATTGTCGAATTCAAGGTAATGATGAAATAATGCATCATTTATAATGCAATTCCTTTAGACGGATTATGAAGTTGTGAATTAAAATAATTTATCATTCATATGTTACTAGCAAAATTATTATATTTGTACACATTTTAAAAAAGTCAAACCATATATTATAATTTATTCAAATATGTATTACAGAATATATATTCATAAGCTGGCATAATCAACAATATAATAAATAATAACAACATAAATTAAAATTATTATATACAAAAAAGTGGCATTATCTTTCTTTCAGAACAAATGACAATTAACTTAATTGCTTTCTCGCTGACTTTGCAAACAAAAAGACTGACAGAATTCTGATAATGGAGTGAAAAAGAAACAGGCAGTGTAACTCACTTCTTTTGGTATGTATGACCTTCCACAGCTCTGGAACATAGCTTGATACATTTTACGTAGACCCTCTGACATTCCCCCCAGAACAAAAGGGGGCTGTTTGCTTGGAAGGTAACACCTTATCTAGTTGTTGCCCTATATCATTTTTTTTTAAAAATCAGCTGTTGTCCGCACGGGCACACCTTTGCTCCCTGCAGTTAGTTCGCCACTCTCCCTGCAAATTGTCACAAAGTCGACAGAAAAGGTCTGCAAGAAACACGGCATGAAATGTGTAGTCCCTGTCCTTCACTGGGGGCTTTTTTATGCCTTGGTCTGTGCTTTTGACACCTTGTGTCTTTTTTGAAGTGTCAATTCTGTCAACTAGTTTTCCAATTTTTCTTCTGATCACCGGTTTTTGCACCGCCCTTCTCATTGGAAGTATTTTGGACAGTAATGCCTTACCGTATCGTGCTCTTGTGTTCGCAGATGGTCCTGTGACAGGAGTTTTCCGGGAATTCCATTGTCTGGAAGATGGCTGAAGAACTGACTTAGAACTGTCATATGTCCTCCGTGAAGACGACTGGTTTGGTATTATTCTTAGTTGCGAAGACCTGGGTGAAATTAGGCGGCGATTTGCTGAAAGATAAATATTTTGTTAACAAAGTTCAAAAGCGTCGTTTAAAAATTAATTTTTGATGTTTGTGTTAATTTAAGACACAAAAGAGACAATTAAGTAACATGATTTTGATGTGTTTGGAGGAAAAGGTATACTAATGATTTCAAAAGTACTTTTTAATTTTTTCTAACAATTTAACAAGCAATTTTTTTAAATGATTTATTAATAAGCAAGCATATATATATATATATATATATATATATATATATATATATATATATATATATATATATATATATATATACGAAAACATTTTTCATATATTACTAAACAAAAGTGAAAGGACCAAGCATTGCATAAGTAAAACTGCCAAAGTCATTCTTACCCTGCCTCAAATTAGTCTGTGGAGAAATATGAAATCCAGAAGCGATATTTATGTTCCATAAAAAGCAAAAGAATAACAAACTACTCTGCTTCTGGAAATCCATTTCGGACACAGCGTTGTGTGAATTTTAAACAGCTGTTGTCATATCGCTTCTTTAGGAAAAGCCATGGTCCTGCACTTTATGAACAATAGAAAAAAGTTCAAGCATCAGCGACAACTGCAAAGTAGTTTTTATGGTCTTTGTCCTGTAATAAATGACACCTTTATCATGGACAGAGGTTCAAAGACAGGTGATCTCTCCGGCCCCTCTCAGTTCGACAGGTAAACGCTGCGACACATCATTATCCAACATGTTCGTATTAGTCACTGATCCTAATTCAGCTTACCTACTTCTATTTATATATATATGATAAAAGGTAAATTGTCAAAAGTGTCTTCTAAGCGTTTCATTGTAAAAAAAATTGTCCATTAAAATTTAAAGCCCATTTTGTGTTGTCTTAAACTTAGACGTTGATTGGCGACATTTATTCAAAAGTTGCGAAATAGGGTGTGTGTGAGATTTATTACGCAGCAATGACATACGATTACGCAAACGTGCAAATATATCCATCAAAAGAATTTTGATAAGAATTTAAAACAAAAAATATTTTGATCCAATTAAGATAAGGTAACTAATTCCCTTGAAGTAATGGTGAACGTGAACTTATTCTCTTGTCCCAGAAATCTGCTTTTGATAATATTGTTATGAAAAAATGTTTTGATACACATATGTACATGTATTTTGTATTCAGCATACATATTTTTCTAGTTGCGAAGTTCTTTAGAGTGAATAAGAATTCTTTGTTTGAAAAATTGGCTAACGTATTGGATGATGTTTAAGGGTAATGAATCCTGTACAACCAGGGTAATGTTTCCGCTGTCCATTGCTTAGAAAATGAACACTACTTGTTTTCTCAAATACAATGTAATTTAGGGCTAATGAATTAAGCTTTTACGAATCAAAAAATAAACATATATAAACTTGCTTCATTATTCTAACATCAGTAAGGAACTAGTCATTCATGTTCAATTTAAACATTGCACACTCTTTTAAATTCATTGACTATTTTTTATATATTAATGTAGAATAGTCAATGACATCACTGCTTGTTTATAACTGTTCAATATGAATATGTTTTGCCCACGACTTTGCAAATGTAAGAGGTAATCATTATCCGGAGGCTCCTAAAAGTTGCCTATCAAAATATTATAGAGACTATTTTGGAGAACTCAAGCAATAATACAATTTTATGAGTACCTATGATAAAAAAATCATCAGTGGTTGAAATTGCATGCACTAATCTGATCTTTACCAAACATTGAAGAGAAATCAACATTCACTGATCAGTTGTCATTACATTTTTGCCAAGACTAATGCCACAATGCACATCATTAGAATGAGATCTTTCAACAAGGGGTTAGTGTGTGCTTAACAAATGTATAATTGCAAGTAGTTTTGCCACTAAAACACTGTTTTTTATGCGAAATTAAATAATTCCTTAACGGTTTTGTCTTCATGTTCACACATTGCTGTCCGTGCTTGCTGATATCCTCTGAGTTGCCTAATTGCATTTTAGTCAATTAATATACCATAACTAGAAAGAACCAATTAAATATGTTCCCTTTATTAAATAGTATTATCACTTCTATCTATATATGTTAAACGGTATTTCAGTTATATGTCATGTGGTTAAATTAAATTATATTTATAAATGCATATTGTAACATGTATTTTGTTGTAGAAACAACAATTGCTTAGACATTTATGTTTATTTTCAATCAAACTCTTTACATAATGAATAACATATTTTTAGAATTATGAGCTTCATCAAAAATATGAGCAGAATATGAAAATTACAACAACAAAAAAAGAATTATTTTATTTTCACATGGGTCTTTTGTTAATTAAGGATATATCAGAATATAAAGTCATTCGTAGATTATGGGACTGTATAAGTTCAGGTGAAAACTGTGCTAACCTTCAACTGAGTAACAACCTACAATGACAAAATACATATAAAAGTAGAGAAGGTTTTATAAAATCATTCACAGCTTGTTAATGGACAGTAAGTGCACACTGGTACTGTGCATGTCAATTAAGGTATGTTACAGGTAATTAAATGTGAATTATGTCATTTATAGTCGTTTAAAACATTAATGACACAAAATTAAAATAGATTTCATGATAGCAAACTGGAACTATGTACACGTTTATTATTTCTGTGTTGTGTTTTTATATATTAATGTAGATGCTGTTTTGTTCTTGTCAAAATCTGGAAATTCCATCAGTCTGATAGTCTAAATTAGCTATTCAAGCATACACATTTGCAATTTACGTCAACATGTACAGCTCCGAGTACTTTTTTAAGCTCACATGGTTTTTCGCACAAATTAAGGTCACATTCTTCTTATAATAAAAAAAATCAACATTATCAAACTTAAGTATGACAAAATAACCCTGAGATTTATTTTATATCTCATTTTAAGTGTACGTGCCTTTTACAATTATTATGTCATGTTTTCAAAGTCGATGTTTTAAAGAGGAGTTTATCAATAAATGGTACGATGTAACAACTATATGATTCAACATTTATAGGTATTTACAAATTGGATTAATCGAGCTTCTTTAATACTATTTAGTTATAATTTTTAAATTGACTTCTTAAAGGTTCTAAGTACTTTGTTCATTTACCATATCGTTCTTGGTCTTGTCGATAGGTAGCACCGAAAAGGGACAACGCTGCGGATAGAAACCATGCCAGAAGGTAGGATAATGAAGCATTGCTTATCTTTCAAAATGATAAATTGTTACTATTGAAAGGAAAATTTTTACATTTACAGTTTGAAACTTTGTAATTTTGTAGTGGGAAGGATCTCTCATGATGCAAGATTTCAGAAAGTAAATGTGAAAAATGCCAATTTTTTAACATGGAAAGCAGTCGAATAGATGAGAAATACTGTTATCATCTTGCTCTAATGAATCATGTTAATGTACAGAAAATACAAGTTTTAGGAGCAGTACCTTGTATGTGTCTAGGTGAGAGGAAAAAAAGTCACCCATAGTCAAGATAGAATCTTCAAGAGTTTAGCATTTCAGGAAAGGCAATTCATCGCTAGAGTTGAGGAAAAAAGCACTGTAAAATGAAACATGACATCGTCAAGTGAAACAGCTATTTCACAGAAGTTATAAGAAAGAGTAAAATAAAGAACCACGTTTCTGCAAAAAGTTACTGCTTTCAAAAGGACAAAGACAGCAGCTACAGGCAAGAAACCACAAAAACCATTTGGGTATTGTTATACTATATAAGTTAAGAGTCAATCCAAGTCCTACCTAAAATTATCTGTGAATTATGTTTTAAGTTAGTGAAATTAAAGTAAAATATGATAAACAATCACTTTTAAAAAATATATTTTGACTTTAATTTGGGCGAAAAACCATGTGAGTTTAAAAAGTGTGCGAAGCTGTATAGAGAAATGGGTAATAGAGACAACTCATTAGATTGATGCAGTATACTTCGAAGAACATTGTTTAACGACATATTATTATCAAAATAATATGGTTTTTTTATTTTGAATTTAAAAATCAAACCACTTCAGCATATTTTACGTGTGAAATTAAAAAACAAAAAAAGAACGTTATTCAAATGCATACATTTACATGTAGTTAAATTATATTACCATTACTGTCGGCGTAAATTTAAAACAGCAATTACTACAGTTTGTGATGTTTCTTTTTCTTATAGAATTATGGACAGATGATACAACCAAAAAATGGATGCCTGGATTGGTATACATTTTTGGACCTATTTTGGTTGTAAATGATGCAAATAATAAATTTCTAAAATGTTAAGAGATTGTAAACTTTCTCTGATATTCAAAATTCTACCTTTCTGTAACCATTCTTTCAATTTGAAATCGTGCCAAAAGTATACCCGATACCTATATTAAATTGAATACTTGTATTATTTTAAAGAAGAGGTCAAGAAGATATGAAATACCGATTTCCAAGAGACTGTAGGATATCTCGATACATTTCCTTTCTCTGAGATGGAAAAAAAACTCCCATATTTTTAACTGATTTTCTTCATTTTTCATTGAAAATGACAATTCAAAAAATGATTTTTCTTTGAGCTTACCTAAAAATTATTACTTTGTATTGGGTTCATTAAAATTAACTCTGTTAAAAGGACAGAAAGAACATCATAGTTTTAAAACCGTATCATAAAGTCAGGTGCATGTTTACTGACTATAGGCCAACTCACAAATAAATTGTATGACAAACGACATGATTTCAGCTTTTCCATCGGCAACTTTCCTTATTTTTAAAACAAATGTAGTAATGCCTATGGTGTTTATGTCTCCCAACTTATTCGATACTCAAGAGTATGCTCTGAGTACGATCAATTCTTAAACCGAGGCATGCTACTGGCATATAAATTGATGTTACAGGGATTTCAACAACTTTTAAAGGCAGCATTTCGTAAAGTCTATGGTCGTTATAATGACCTTATTAACAAATATAACCTATCACTGGGTCGTATTTTGACTGACATATTTCATATCAATTGTTAGGACTTTGTTTTTAGACTGAATTTTAATACGGAATATTCCTTCTACCTGATCAATACACGGGTTCAAGGCGGGTGTGAGCGGTCGACAAGGGATGCTTACTCCTCTTAGGACCTGATCCCACCTTTGGAATTTTCGGGGGTCCATGTTTCATGCCCTGTTCCCAGATTTGTATTGTTTGTAAGTTTTTTTTTTAGATAGATTACTGTTTGTTATCATAACCTTTTTCATGCAGCTCCTTCTTTCATCCTTAGCTGGTAATGCCGATATGATGTTATGATTTTTTAATTCACTTGGCTAACTGTAGATGCAAAAATTGAAAAGTCTTTGCGAACCACAATATTGTCTGTAGAAAACTTTGGAGTGAAATCTGTCACCCCTGCACTTAAACACTGTCAAAGTTATTTACAAGCCAATGATATGACTTATCCATAAATTATATTTCATTCATTTACTTTGTGGAAGTATGATAATTTATGCATGATATCATTGTGTTTATTATTATTTCGTGCATATTTTTTTTCGTCCATGAACTTGGTATCTTCTTTGTTTTGAGATGAAAGTAAATTATTACCTGGAGGCAACATAAGATGTTGATGGCTGTGGTAATTTAGCTATCACAATATAACAGGGAAGTGTGGCTACTACCAACGACAAAGAACATTTGGGAATTTAGCAAAAATTACCATATTATCTGCATACATAAGTAAAAATAAATTTAACATCTACAAATTAATATGGGGACAAACCTCAAAATCTATCTCTCGCCGCCAGAGTTATCTAACAATATCTCCTAAACTATCCCATTTGCCTACAGAGGCTATATTTCAATG